AAATCAATTTTTAACCATCATTGAATAGTTTTCGTATTATTTTTTTATAATCTTCATCTAAACGTTTCCACCAACGCCATATAAATGACATTTCCACCATCACAAATCGACGTTGAGCATTTTCAAGTAAAGCACTCACTACATTATTGAATATTGTTAAAACACTTGGCATAACATGTCGATATGCTTGACCCTCTTTTTGCTGATTAAGATTATGTTGAATACCAAAAAAATATCCGTCAACGGAATTAAGCCAACCAGGATCTAAGTGTGTATGACAAATAACATGTACATTAATAACATCTTCACGAAGTTTTGGACAATTCTAAATAAATAAAAACTATCGTATCTTTCTATATATCTTTGCGCCATTTTTAATTATACTTGATAAGCACAATTTTTTGACTTCGATGACATGATTTGATTTGGTTGTTTATCTTCTGGTAACACCACATTATTTTTTGAAATTATATTTTCTTCATTATTTTCCTTTTGTGCATTATATTCTTCTCGAATATATAGAAAAAATCCAAAAAAAGATACAATAGTAATAAGAGTAACTAATTGTTTACGATATTTAGCACTACGTGTTGATCGTACCTATTTGAACAAAATATATTTCTAATTTCTTATCAAAAGCAAATAATTAAGAACTTACAAATAAACGATGAAATGTATGCATTTTCAATATTGATTGCTATTCTAGATGGAGAATAAGATATTAAGATAATGGCGTGGCTCGTTAGATTAATAAGAACGATATAAACTATGATATGTATATATAATTTACGTTCTAAAACTTTGATTCAAAAGTAAATATTAGTCTTATCACCAATTATTTAATATATCATAATAATTTTTTTTGATGTTTGATAGTTTTATTCACTTGATCGATTGTTCTGTTATGTACAGATAGTTAAATAAATATTTATATTAATGATTTCGTTTTTGTATATTATTAAGAATTCTGCAATATAGAATTACAAAGTTAAAAGTAACAATCAAAGGTTTCACATAATAATATATATAAATCAGTTTTCGAACCTTCCATGTGACACAATGTCTGAAAAAAATGAAACATAAGTGTTTGTTGATTATCACAAACATTGAAAATTTTTTCTTTTTCAACTAAGTAGTATGAAAAAAATCCATATAGATTGCATTAGCATGCTTTTTTTTTTCTATCTATTCGATGGCAACACACTCACGCGATACTCTAAAAGAATAGTTTTTTTTCACTATGGAAAAGCAGCTCTAGAAATGTTTTATTGTTTTATGTGAATAAATAAACAAGAAGAAAAAATAACGAAAAAAAAAATGTTAATCTTCTAGTAAAATGGAAATTTGACAAACTCGTCACTTGTCATAGAACTTCAT